GGAGGGATGAGGCCATCCTGCAGGACTCATCCCCAAATTAACGATCCTAGATGTGCTTAGACATCATTGACTCCGTGCTTTTTGTCCAGGGCCAACTCAAATGAGCTCGTGCTATGAAAAGGGATCAGGTAGCCCGTCCGCAGGTCCTTAGCTGTGCGATGGGAGAGGTGCCCCCAGCCCAGCCCTGCTGGCCCCGTGGCCACGGGCTCGCAGGGGAGTCCTGCACTATCCAACACGCCCGACGTGCTGCATGGAGACACCCAAACAAGCAGGGATGTGGGAAGAAGAGGGGAAGAAATACCTGCTTGCTTTCTAAGCGTGGCATTTCTGTGTCTCAGCGAATTGGTGTAACTGCAACTGGCAGTCCTTACCTTAAAATACGGGCATTTCCCTGCTGGAAATTCTCTCCTCCACAGTTTCCTTGCTCTGAAAGCTGCAGGCGTCGATAGATCAGCTCTGAAGTCTGCTGAGTGCCTAGAAATAAGGGGACATCATTTCCCCAAGTCAGTGGCTGTGGCCCCCCGCCTGCCGATAGCGCTGAGCGGGAGATGGCTCTTTGCAACTTTGATTTACCGGCAATTGTCGGAGAAGCAGCACGCAAGAAATGGAAACCCAATATTTCCATTACAGTTTACTTAACAGAAAAAATATTGTAGGGAAGTCAGACATCATAAAAAGCTCATCTTCTCTCTGTTTACAGGGTTGTACAAGAACTTGAGCCAGACCGGTGATCAATTTAAAAAAAGCCCTTTGCAACTGAGGGCACGGACAAGCGAGCGTTCGATATCCCCATGGCAAACCTGCAGCCCCAGCGAAGGGCAGGGGGTAAAGCACCGACCAAAGAGTGGCTGGCAGAGAGCTCCGGAGTGGGTCACTGCATTTCCAAGAAGCTCTTTGGAACACTGAGCAATTTCTCCTCCAACACGCCCAAGAACTATTCTGCATCATCCATTCCCCCACCTTGCAAAATGCCCTCTCTCGTTGATATGGAGGATATTTTTAAGGTCAAGCTCCCGTGTTATGGCCCATCTATGGGGTAGCAAGCGTTGCCCATGGCAAAACCCCATCAATTCTGACTAGGTGGTTTCTCCTCCCCTTCACACACACCTCCCTCTCCTCCCTTTCCTTGGCTTCTTCTGGTCCTTCCCATTATCTTCACTTACTATTGGTCCTGCAAAAGCCTTTGGCTTTGCTGTTGATACCATGATCTTGGTGCCAGGGAATGGTCCTGGGGAAGAGGGGCTGCAGAGGACCACGTCACCCTGCCCAACTGCTCTGCTCCAGTGTTCCCCCCACCAGACCATCCACACCGGGTGCTCTGCCTCACGGGCTGTGGTGCCTGGGGACGTTCCCAGCCTTCCCTGAACCGGCACTGCTTTCAGCTCGGTGTCCTACCTCCTGCTGAGCCGATGTCCCCTAAGGAGATGGTGTTAGTCTGTGTGAGATACCTGGCCCATGGGTCGGTGGGTTTGGGGCTACCTTGGGTCCACCCACGCTCTGCCTCAGATGCTAAGGCTTCTCCTGTGCTGCGGTCCCAGTAAGGAGCTCAGGCAGCTCCATGTGTTCAGCTTCATCAGAAGAACGGAGCCATATCGTGCACAAGTCACTTTGGGACCAACCTACAGGAACTTCCTTCAAGAGGAAAAAGTTCAGGCTGCTGCCGAGGTCGACGAAGAGAGTCGCTGAGGTTGTGCTGAGAAATGAAGGCTCATTTCCCAGTGAGGGCCCTTCCCTCTGAGCACGTTGAGACCCTGGAAAGCGTCCTTCAACTCCAGGCAGGAGCGGGTATCAGCCTTGGCCCACCAGCAGGTCGGACAAAACGATGCCACGCTGCTTTCGTCCTGAGGTCTGCAACCCGTCCTCCGGAGACATTTGAAGACAAAATGTGCTGTTGCAATAAGTGCTAATTTTGAGGCCCGTGGTGCTCATGAAGAACAGTCACCGATACCTGCCCGAACCACGAGAAGTTTCAGGGAGCAGGAGAGGCACCGCTGGAACGTCAAACCAGCGCTTCTGCCCGAGTCAACCAGTGCTTCTTATTCCTCAGTCGATGGTTTAATCTATTTTAATGATTATCACTACTGATGCTGAGTGTAATCACCTTGTCTGATACAATTGCTAGAATCTAAAAGTCTACTTGGTTTTAATGGTTTATGATTAGGAGTATTATTTAGTCAGATTAAACTGGTCTTAATTCATTCCCAGTCATCATTTAAAAGCTGGAGCACGTTACGGAGAGCCCCCCTCACCACAACATGAATCAATGCCCTGTCTCCATGCCATATATTTTTAGCAGCAACATGGACAGGCACCGAAGTACTACAAGCTATTAATATTCATGAATCATCGCTACCACCATTAAAATTTCCTTAAAACCCACCACAGCAGTGGCTGGATTTACTTCTCTTGGCAGTGATGGGGCCCATTAACCCCTGACTGTCAGAAGAACGGCTGGGAAAGTCTCACAGACTGGGATTTGGAGGAGAAGCTGAAGGGTCTTCTGTTGCTTCCACAGGACGCTGGAGACCTGAAAAGCTCGTTAGTAGGTAACAGAGGGAATGAGATCCCGGAGCAGCCAACAGCGGAAGCATTTGCTCCATGCTTCTTGCTAGATGAACCAACTTTCTTCCCTTTAGACTAATAACACATGTTCTGTCAGCGAGAATACAAACAAGAATTTAAGGAAAACTTAAATTCCAAGAGACAGGCAGAAGTGGCAAATTAAGTACATATTTTTCTTACTGAAATAAGTGATCAAAACTGACATGTAAGGGCCAGGAGTAACTCATTCCTGGAAGAATCGTCTGTGGACAATGGAGAAGCATGTTAGCTAAATTATTTGATTAATTTGTTTAAAAATAAAGCCCTGAAGACATTTTAGATGTTTCCTTTAGTTAATGAGATTTCCATGATAGTTAAAAAAATAAAATTAGAAAACAATGCCGTTAATCTTGGATTACATGCAGCACGGGGGAAGAATTAGTCTCAAAGCAGGAAGATTAAGACACTTTGCTTCCCAACAAAAGAGCTGTGATAGAAGCTACGTGCTGTGTTTTCCCATCTGAGACCAACGACGAGGTGATCAGGACCTGTCCTTTTGTCTCTAACCTGGTGTATTTGGGCACGGCTCTAACTTCTCCTTCTGACAGGGCAGGGTCTGCGCCTGAGAAAATAATTATGGGCTGATGAGGACCTTCCATCCACAGGAAACCACAAGGACAACTCTATGTCTTTGGTCAGCTCTTGCACTCAAATAGCTCATCGGAAAAAATGTTTTCTCAAGCATTCGGTTAACCCGTATACTAAATATTACATATATATGAACTATCAATAAAGAACCACCACTACTTCACATTTTAAGTTGAATTATTTTCCATTAAAAGTCTCAAATTAAATGACAGTAACTTTGTACAGCCTGTATTTGGCTGTTCTAATAAACAGCGGCATGAAACGGGGATAAAAAGACATCCCAAAATAGGATTACGTAGAGCTATAAAAGGGGAAATAATCTTCGAAGGAATGATGTAAGAACAAATTCTAACCACATGAAAAAGTAACAAGTCATGGTTTCAATCACCAGCCAGGCGAGGGTTTGATAATCTCATGTGTACAGCATATAAATCCGCGAGGACGACAAATTGCATTTTAATTTATGTCCTGGAAAGGTTAACGTCTAACACCCTCTACCCGCTGCAGAAATCAGGGAAAACACGTTTGCTCCAAGTACACACTGAGCCTAACAAAGTGACTGCACCAGGTCCCAACCCCGTTCCAGGGGGTTTTATCAGTGGTGCAGGAAGTTCCATACAAGTTCAGAGAGAAAAATGCTTAATTTTTAGCGTGCGCTTTGGCAGCAATTTAGACACGATCAATTGCACTCATTAGTTTCTTTTATGACTCAAAAATTAATCTACTGCTTATTAATTTTGATGATTTAAAACCAAAACTTAAATCGTGTCCCTTTAACAGTTAACCTGAAATCAAAGGGAAGGAGCTTCTTGATAAGCCCACAAATGTATAAAACGCTCATTCTGACCTTTGACAAAAAACCAGCTCTTTTGTTCACAAATATACTTATTGACAAGTGAATCATTATAATATATTCAATGAAATATTAACAAGAAGTTTATTCTTCGAGATAATTTTATTAAAGCTCTCTTCAAACATAACACAGTATTGTAAAAAATCCACAATTGCAAGGTACAGTCTCAGTCTTTTTTTTTTTTTTTTTTTTTTGGTACTTATCTAAACCAGAAGCTTGCAAAGAAAACACGTGTTGTGCAAAAACATCGTATGGGGTATATGCTGACATACAGTAATTATATTCCTTGGAACACACCAGGTATTGATGTAGAAATGCTTTAACTCAAAAATAAAACACAGAGTGATACTCTGCAACGAGCTGTACACGAGGCTCCCACCAACCTACACCAGGATTCTGCTTCTCCATCAATGACAGACCCTCTGTGCTGGATTTACTTAATTACAGGGTGTTTTTTCTTCTGATGCATACAAAATTGAGAATGAATAAAAAAGGCCCAATCTTACACACGATGCAACTGGTCTGAGCAGTCTGTGCCTCCAGGTTGGGTTCAAGGCACAGGGGGAATCTCATCCTCCGTGTTTAAACCAAACACGCTGCTGTTAAATAGATGTTCATCTCAAAATAAAGTCATCCCACGATATGCACTGTATCATCATGTCAAATAAATATTCCTACAGCACCTATTACTGTGACTCTATATCACAACTCAGGGAGAAACAGCTAACATGGGAAAAAATTAGGAAAAAAATTGTATCTATCCTGAAACAACGCAGTAAATATTAAATGTTTTATTCTTGGCATGTACTTTGCAAATAAGCAATGGCAAATTAATGATGAAATAAATAATAAGAAATAAGCAATAAATTTGGTCTCTAAGTGACTGCAATCTTAACTGTTTGTCAAAGTCATCCCAGAGCAAAATTCCATGAAAACAGGAGCTGAACCCAGCCTGGCACTAGGCAGCTTCCTCGTTCACCAGCAACGGTTCCACTTCCAGTGCCACTGATCCGGATTGTCTTTCCCTGTGCTGACGGTACAGGATGAACTGCACAGTCACCTGTTATTTTTGGGTAAGGAAGTACTTCTTCATGGCAAAAAGTTCAACGGTATTTTACTGCAACACTAGAAAAGGGAACGTGCAGAAGAATCCTAACACAAAAATGCAGATGCCCTTGGTTGTATGGCTCAAGTACACGTGAAAATATCCCTTACTCCCTCATCCTCGTGCTTCCAAGGGTCCTAAGTGTGAAATTCATAGAATGGGATGGAATCAAACACATTGCCCTGTACTACTCCAGCCTCAGTAGACCAAATACCAGGGGCTGGGCTGCAGGTGGGTGCTGCTAAGGAGGGGAAGTAATTCAAAACTTTTCTTAGCAATAGATGAGCAGGGCCTGATCAGAAAACTAAATTCTCATTTCCTGCAAAATTCTAGGCGGTTTGATATTTACTGGCAAGCGGATGACACTCTGACTCAACATTTATTGCTGTTTTCAAAACAGAATTGTGCAATTAGACATAATTATTTATCTCTACTGTAAGACAGACCATTTGAAACACTGCTAATCTGTAAAGAATTAACAAGTATTTACTTGTCCTTTTCCTGGATGATTCCAGTTTTCAAACAAAATTATTGACTTTGAGCATAGATAGCTTAAATAAAAAAAAAATCAGGGGTGTGCATCTAGGACAGGAGAGATTTCTTACTCTTCAGAATTTTTGCTAAAGAGTTCAGGAGTTTTACACTTGAGTACTGAACTTGATACAACTTTGTTTTCTGATAGAGATACCACTGGAAGATATAAAGATACCAAACCAACCTCTCCAGCTACGCCCTGCCCTTACGTACTCTTTTCTATTCTAGTCTAAGAAATACACACAGCATCTTGCAGAATAAAGATTTCCTACTCCTGGTAAATCGAGGTGCAAACGATGTGAAACACAAAGCAGCAGGTCCCAGAAGCCCATCTCCTCAAAGGCAAACCACCAGGCAGCAAAGCAGCAATGCTCTCTGTACAGCAAGGTCCATGGCTCCTGCTTTTCTTGCTCACTTTGGGCACTTTTTTCTGCTTTTTCTAAAAGACAGAATGATTTCAGCAGCAGACTAAACTCAGCATTACTTGCTGCCCAACTTTGATGAAGAAAGTTTTGAGGAGGACATTAGATGGGTGGAAGCAGGTAAGCAGGTGTAGTAGATGAGGTCACGTAGGGAGTCTCCAACGTAAGCATCTGCATGAAAGCAGGTTTAAAGGTATGTGGTACCTTGTACAAATTCCAATTTATGCTCATGTAAATCCAGCTTTCACAGAGCCTGGATCACCACTACTGCTATGTGTAAAACCCCAGTTTAAAAATGAAAAAGTTTCACTGGGAGGAAATCTGACACATAGAATTCTACCAGGAGGGCTTTAGATCAGTTAAAGTGACTTGGCTGGTAGACAATGGTTGTGGGAAGTTTAAGGCTAATGTATGTAATTATTTATAAAAATAAGGAGAATTAAAAAAAACCAAAAACCCAACCCACAAACTTTCTGGGCAGCCTGGATGAATGGAGAGGAAATACACTATATCCAAGGCAGAGCCCCCAGAATTATCCCACCTTCTCAAAGCTTTCCAGCATCCCACCTCTGAGGCCCCCCAACTAAAGACTAGACAGGATTTCCTTCAGAGACAGCAGCTCAGCACTCCTTTTTCAGTCCTTCTATAACGTTACATGGGGAATGCTTTCTTCTTAGAGCTTAGCAAATTAGTTTTATAGCATACCTATAGCTACCACTTAAATTTCCTGCCTTTTTCTTTTTTATAGGCCTTGCTGCACTTGCAGGTGAGCACCTCCCCAAGTCTTAACAGTCGCAGTGCTGGAAAAAGACACTGTGAAAGGGGAATCAAATTTGCTTAAAAGCATCCTGTGGGCTTGGGACAAGCCTGGGCTGTAGCACTGCGTTATCACTCTTGGCCACCAAGTTGGGCAAAAATAACAGAGCTTTTAAGGAGGAATAAATTATAAACACAACTTATGTGGAGGTTATCAAACGGTATTTCCAGAATATGTTTTTGTAGCATATGTACTCAGCTGCTTGTATTTTTTAAATGATAAACTGCCAAGACTTCTTAAGATAGAAACTAACTTGCTGCTCAAGTCTGACTTTCTGGAGGAAACTTTAAGACCTAAGCATGCAGACAGCCCAAAGTGGAGGAGACAACCAAACTGACTTCCCAGACTAAAGTTCATGACAGCCACTGAGCTAGTGCATCAAATTTGTTTCATTAAATCAAACAATTTAGTGACCACTCAAAAAACAAAAAGTTTTGAGACAAAAACAGGTATTTACAAGAGCACAGAGGAGAAGTTGTGTGTTTGGCTGAGAAACTCTCCTGGCTGAATTGTCAAGTCAGACTTACATTCTTTGCACAGTGTAATTAAATTACAAAGTGCCATGTTTTGTAGAAGCATATAATGGATTCCAAGTGGTTGTCCTGCAAATAACAAAAGGTGCAAGAGAAGAGTTTGTGTACAACAGCTTGGCTCTCGCTGAATATCCTTTGGCTATCTCGTAACAACCTGCCTACACTTAATGAAAAGAAGCACATGTGGAGGATTCAAACACAGTTCTCTGACAATAGGGTGATGTCAAATGAAAAAAAAAAACAAGGCAAAAATCTTGGTAAAGGGCTTTGTCTGAACTAAATACATAGCAGAGTTGTTTGGTTTTGGTGGGAGCAGGGGAGGAAGGAGGCAGAGTGAAAGAGGATAGTACACTTATAGAAAAGGGAAAAGTTTTCTGGAAAAACTTGCACTAGATTCAGTCTCTCAGAAACTTGGTGATGGGGCAGAATTGGTCACCAACTGATTTTAAAATACGCCCTGTTGCATCCTTGTGCACAGGTGAAGGATTAAGTGCTTCACCAAAGCTCTAACCAGGTCCACTGAGGAACTCTCCAGCAGGCAAATCCAGACTTGGTGCCTGCCTGACACCCTATCAGGCCCATTTAAACCCTGGGCTTCGTGGTTTCTTGAGAAGCTCCAACCACCTTCCACTGCAAAGCAGCAGCTGGAAGGAAACATTTACTAGAAAATAAAATCATATCCAATTTATAATTCAAACGTGTAACGCTATGAAACTCCTCTTAAAACAAAAACAAGGACAATTCATACTTTACAAACAATTGGACTCTTCCATTATTTATCAAAAATAACTGGCTTATTGTGCAACCAAGTAACTTTAACTGTAGACACCAAGGAAACAGGATGAGCGTGTTATCCTGTTAAAGTGAGCTGAAACAATTCCAGTGCAATCCTGCACCAAGGAACGCTGGAGCTGCTGTTCCAGCTCTGATCACGAGTCCATTTGTTGCTAAAAACAGTCATTGCCAGCCGTGTCAGATGGAAGCAAAAGAATACTGCAGCAGACACAGAGTAAGGGAACTCTTAATCCTTGCCTGGACCTTGAGAAATGAGAGTTTATTTTCCACCTAATGAAACCCTGGACACTATCAGGAATAAAGCCTACTAGAATTAGGCAATTTCTGCAGCTACTCCTCAAAACAGAGACTGCCTGTTACACAAATGATCAATTATGAAGCACTTCCCTCAGAGAAATTACGACTTTTTGTTTTAATTCCTCTGTTTTCCAAAACCCAGGTGATCCTGTTCTTCATTTTTCTGGTCTAGCATGACATATCAGTTTGTCAGATATTTTATTTTCTTGCTTGGAAAGAGACAGGAATGAAGCTCTCCCTAGAAGCATTGACTTCTCTACCTTCAGGGCTTCTCAAAGCAGGAGGTCTGCTTTTGTTTTCTCTTGATTACAAATACTTCATACATTTTCAGCTAACGCTATACACTTGACTAGATTCCTATAAGCTCCTCAACCTGATTTAGAAGCATCTGTTTTCAATATAATTTGAACTGGAGGACTATTAGCAAGATTGGATTCAGACTCCAATCAAGACAGAACCCAGAAATGAATGTCATGTGCACACTGGCACTGCGATCCCGGGGCAGGGGGAGCTTTGTGCCCAATACAAAAGTTCTTTTTCAGAGTACATCACAGAAAGGCATCTGCAAATACGCACATAACGTACTGTAAGGGTCATCAAGATCAAATTCTAGGGTTTTTTTGGGTAAATAAACACTGGCCGGTTTATGTTTCCAGTTGGGAGGTGGAAGAAAGAGTCACTACTTCGTTGACTGCACTGTCTCATAAAAGAAAAACTCCCATTTATTTCAAAAGGGGCCACGAACCACAGTTCAGTCTCACCACAGCCATGGAGTACTGTGCTCCCACCGAAATCTCCCCGGCTGGAGATGCGGAACACACAGATGGCTGTTCTGAACGACAGTGTCACTCACAGTCCACCCAAAGGCCAGGGTCGCCCGTCCCATCCCTAGTCTAATTGGAGTGGCTTTTGAAATTACTTTAATCAGAAAGACAAGGCTGATGCCTGGGAATCATAACTTCTGGAACCGTTCCAGGTAAATCTGGTAAAGAACTTCCTTTTAATATGGAACGGATTAACACAATATGCTTCAGCATGGTCCTGAAATCACTCTTCGTCTTATCCTGTTTTATACTTTGAGTTCATGGAGCTAAATACCAAGATGTTTTCAGACACAAACCTAAAATACTTCAGGAAAAAAAAAAAATCATAAAATCTCCTCTTTATACTCTTTTAAGTGAAAATGTAAGCTATAGCAACAAGACTATAGGTGACTATAAACCTATGGTGAACAGTAGGACCAAGTCCCACCACATCACTGTTCACTAAGCTTTTAAAGCAAAAGTACAACATTGCTCTCAACATTTTGCTTTTAATTTCTGGATCACAAAATGCTAATGCTCAATGTAGAAAGAGCACAACTAACAATAGCCAATATACCATGGGCATCTTATGTATGTCCCCTGAATACAAGAATAAAAAATTACACTGTTTTTCATTTGCTCAGGTCTTTCAAGAAGCTGGCACACTAATCTAGAAAAATGTGTAGCTAGTTAGCCCTTAGCATGACCCAAGCATGTTGCTTTTCAGAGGCACTCAGCATCTCAATGCATCTGATTTTGCCCCAAATTATGCAGTTAAGGGTAGCTGCAGCACTTCTTTGTTAAGTGCTATTTTCTGAAACTGTTTGCTAAAACCTCATTGATTGTCTCTGATGTTAAAGCAATCTTGAAATAACACTTACAATTTAAACAAATTCTCAAAGCTGTAATTCTACACTTGCATTTAAAGGCAAGCAGGTTTGGGGTTGGTTTGGTTGGTCGGGTTGTTTTTTTTTTTTCCTTTTTTTTTTTTTTTAAAATGTATCAGACAGCAAACATAAGAAAAACAGCACAATGGGCACAACCTCTCCCCCCAACTTTTTATGTATTGGCTACAAAATAGAAATTAACCTGTGCAATTTAGCTTTAATGTAAATATTTTCTAAAAACTTGTTATTCTTATCAAGAAATATTATTATTAGAAGTATACAAATTATTGTTCAGAAAGAAGTTAAGATTTTACGATCAGGTTAGAATCACCAAAAAATAATTGATTTTAAAAATCCACTTAATTCCTGATCTCCTTATTAACAAGCCCATCCTGAGAAACTCTAGCTGTAATAGGAAAAGGATACAAAAATGTCCAGAAACAAAACTCCAAAGCTCCCAATAAGCCATGGAAGATGGTGTAAAAAGTACAGGGCCTGGAGAGATTCAGTCGCTGGCATCTTTAAAACAAGGCTCAGTCCATACGTACAGTTTCCCAGCATGGCTAATGCAAACAGCAGGTAAGAGGTGCCTTCTGTTGATCTTCTTTGGAACTAAACACAAAAATTTTTATGGAAGAAATGTTAAAACATGTGTCACAGTAGCCAGTTATAGGAAAATTTTAGCATTTTGTACTATAACACATTCAAAGACTTTCAGTCATTCTTGTCCATCTCTTCCATCTCATCTGAATCCTCTGACTTTAGTACCTTCAGCACGTACCACTGAAACAACAGAAATTGTTACAGCTCTTAGAAGCAGCTCCAGTGAATATAATTTTTATGTAAGTACAAAGCAGCAAAGATAATCTGCTTCCAAATGATATTTAGATCTTAAGAAATCTGTTGCTCTATCTGTCTGTTTAGTAGAACTTTTCGAAAATATTGTGGTTTTCCAGCTGTGATGGAAAAGATAAAGGGGGAATATGGATAGGCTTGGAAATGCACTAATTGCATTTTTGTAATCAAACAAAATGCCTCTATACAATTGACAATGTAAAACCTTTAGGTCTTTTGTTAGGTTTTGTTTTTTTTATTTAACGTGCCGATAGTGAACAGGCTGGGGAGGGGGGGAAGTCAGTAATGACATCTTTGTGGAAAAAGGCCTAAAATTCTAAACTAATTTCCCTCTGATCCTAACTTTCAATCCCATGACTGGTTACTTAAGGTAGAATAGTTTGGAGGAAAAAAGGGGAGAATCCACTTGCTCATGACAACAATCACACCAAGTACATTTCTGCTCATATCTGATAAATCCAACTCTTCCTCTTCCTTTGCCAATCAATCAAAGACCATAATTTTCCTAAAATTCTCATCATCCTCCTCTGAAAGGGAAAAAACCCTTCTTTTTGTTTACCATTTGAGGTCACAAAAGCAAAGTAGGCTTTGACTTCAGAGGGCTCACTGCTAGGGAGAATCCAACATCTAAACAAAGCGTATTTTGTAAAACATATAAGTATACTTAGCCAAAAAAACTTACTTACATTTTTATACAGCTGAGGAAACCTACTTCCCAAGTAAAATACACAGGATATATAGCCACAAATGAAGCCTGACATTTCAATCATATCAAGAGAGTTCTGAAAAAGAAAGGTACGTGTATTTTGGCAAGAACGTTTTTGGGCATTTCACAGGATTAAACTGAGAGTCCAGGGGCTGATTTTCTGGACAGAACTGCTTTCAAAGCAGTTCAGTGCTGCTCTTCCAGTGACCAAAGAGGACTAGAAAGGGTTTGGTCTTTATCTCACAACAATGCACTATGCTGCATCGTAGCCATGGCTGAGATCAAAACTAGTGCTGGGCAAGACAGGACACCAGTATCAATCCAGTCCTCCTGCTAAAAAAACCTGGGCACAATAATTCAACCCAAACTAAAAACTGTAGCTAGGACCACAAAAAAAAAAAAAAAATCATCCTATCTGGAGAAAGTAAAATACTCATTTTTCACAGTTTAAGAGTTAGTTTTCTCACTCTAGCTGTGTTTTGAAAACAAGCTGCTTCCCTGCTGGGCAATGTTGCTGGATTACAATTATTTTACTGGCATTAGTATGAAGCCCACAAAATTGCCTGAATAGCCGGTGAACTTTTTGAAATGACAGCAGCAGCAGGTACCATTGTAATTTTCCACTTTTATTGATTTCACTTGTGACTAGGCAGTCTCTACACGGATGCCTACAGCACCTGACACCAGCGGAACGACAACACGTACCCATGTTACTCCACAGAGCAGCACATCCTAATGACCCAAGGGACAGAATGAGCCCAAAACACAGGAAAATGCTAAAAGAAGCACTTTTATAACTTCTTTATTTTGGGATGTATGGTCCATAGTTAAAACATCCACACAGTGCCACATTTAAGATTTCTAAAACCATTGTTAAAAACGTCACCCAAATTGCTTCAAAGCTCGTAGTACTCAATCTTTTCAAGGCACTCCTGGGTGGAATTTTTTTTTTTGAATGGAAGCAGGTAAGAACTTACATTACTTCCTTCGATTCCTGTACCCTGGTCTTGGTTTCTTAGTAACAGCTGACTGGGTAAAATAACACACAGCACTATACACACCACGACCCAGGTTACACAGAAATTCTTCAGGCTTTTGCTGCCTAGAATGACATACAAACAAATTAGCTGAAAAATAACATCTGCTGTTGATTTAAGGTTACTTTTTGTTTGCAATAAAACTATGTAAATTTAAAGGTACAATTTCATGTATCTTTTTCTTGGCAGCCATGTAAGTCCACCTCTTATTTTCTGGGCTTTGTGCCCACCCCTGCTCACTATTATAGTTGTGCTGTGTCTTTGTGCAACAACAGAGAGAAGCAGGGCAGGAACAGGAGGGTACCCCTTAAACAGGCATTGCTACTGAGAGAGAAAATTTTCATGCTTATATTAGGTCCTAACAGTTTACTATTAAATAACAGCTGGTAAACAGAAAACTGTTAAGTAGAATAGAACGTAACAGTTTCTTTCAACACATCTTGATTAAAAACTGCAAAAGCAAGGATATTTGAAATGTGAATTAACAAAACTATCTTTAAGATAAATACATAATCCGAGCACTGTGCTGAACCAGTGTCTATGTCCACGGCTATACAATCATATAATGGTTAGGGTTGGAAGGGACCTTAAAGATCATCTAGTTCCAAACCCCCTGCCATGGGCAGGGACACGCTCCACGACACCAGGTTGCCCAAAGCCTCATCCAACCTGGCCTTGAACTCCTCCAGGGATGGGGCATCCACAACTTCTATCTCAATATCTGGTTATCCAGATATTGAGCCTCACCAAGACTCACATATTCAAAGACACAGACCCCATGCAGCAAGTCTCCACAGACACCTACAAGACCATGTGAAAATGGCAGACAAGTCTGCAGAACTCTGGAGCTACGTTATCTTCTGTACCTACAAGATGCTGGTAAAGTCCTGCAGCCTGTCACCAGTGGGACAAATTGCTGTATGGTGTTAGTGAGGTGCAAAACTGACCAACTTGTCCAGGGTGACTGCTCCAGAACTGGGTACTGCAAAGCCCTCTTTGACAGCTTTAATCACAGCACCATTCCTCCCACTCCAGCTGTGCAAACCACTGAGCTGAAACAGGCACTGGCAGCTAAAACGTACAAAAGCCCGTGTTTGTTTTCAGGAGTGGCCAGCAGGAAGGATCCATCTTCAGCACTGACCTATCTCCAGGTTTATTATCAGTTCCATATTGGATGAATCTGCTTTATCCCTATTTAGTCTGCTGGGCAGGCATCTGTTTTACTTCAGCTTTTTGTTACCTCTGCTATACCATGGATTCTCTTTGATAGGTTTTTTTTTTTTTTCAGATCGATGAGTTAATGTTTTTGATTTGACACAATGTGAACAGAGCTTTCTGTCTTCCATTTCAGTCAAAACAGTAGTCCATCAGTAGGCTGAATCCCACAACTACTGCCAGGATTTTATGAAGCACAACTCAAGCCATTCCATTCCCCTTGAATACATTTTTTTAACTACACATATTGAAACAGAACGCATGAAGATGTCAAGATATTTTATGCTATAAGCAAATAAAGTCCAGTTTCAATCAACGTGGAGGAAACTAACTGAACCATGCAAAGAAATAATGCTTACAGCCATCTAAATATATGTAGAAGTTGGAAGCAAGTAGGTAGTAAAACCATGGAGTAAGTTAAAATATGGAACCAGATTCCACAAACCCACCGCATTTTGTATGTCTCCATAAACTGGAAGTATTACATGGGAAATATTCACAGATATTATGTGGGTAAGAAGAAAAGAAAGGCAGAGAAAAGAAAAGGTAAGATTTTCACAATAGCCTGAGAAGACTGGAAGCAATAGGTCTAACAACTTCCACTAGAATTTGTGCACTTCTTGATCCTTCTGACAAAAATTTATTTAAATGCTTCAGAAAATATTGAAGTAAAGAGTGTGCTACATGATGGAGAATGTTTTAATTGTCAAAAAACCTTACATTTTGTCATCTTCTGATTCTTGAGCTTATAGTAGACAAATTGTGAGATCATAATTATATCCATGTTAACATAAAAAATGGCAGTGACAATCTGGAAGAGAAGATACTTGTTCAGTATACAAATAGTTCAAAATACCTCAACTTAATTGCAGGGAAATGTTGCTTCATAATCACAACGTGAATGACAAATACTACAGCTGCCAAAAAAAAAGTGTTTCCAGTATAAAACAAGTTAGACTGCTGCAGATGAACACACTGTAAACATTATGCAACAGGGATTTGCTGACACAATGGCATGGGCATTTTCCAGGATGCAATATCAAGTTATCCTACAGTTTCAAAACACAGTTTGAAAAGGATGAATCAAAAAATAAGAATATTGGCAGATTACCTGAATTGGCAGTTGATTTGTTAAATAGCAGCCTATGAAATTTGTAAGATCTCCAGCTATCCAACACAGCAGAAAGCCCAAAGACAGTGCTTGATCCACTCTTCCGTTCTGACACGCAACGTAAATTTGACTGGCACAAAATTCCAGAAGTAATCGTAAAACAGTGTAAGCAAAAAAATGTTGAATAAAGCTCAGAAGTACATTTTTCAAAGTCTGAATAAAGATTAAAACTCTAACCACACGAGACCCATCACAGCAATAACTCCACTTACCTTCTGAAGAAGCACTCAGTATCTCTACAGCTCAATGTCTTACTCTGACGTAACAAAGGACTCAAATCACAACCTCTTTACTGCTTGAACATGCTCCTTTTTTGTGGCCTGCTCTCAAATACCATTTTCTGGACACCAGAACTATGCTGTAAGCATTTTATATTCATCTGCTGTAAATACCAGCCCTTAAAATACTGAAGTAAGGAAAACACTGCTATTTAACACAGAAGGGCTAAGAATGAACAAAGCCTCTAAAAGAGCTGACAACTACACTTATGCCTTTCAATTGGAGAACTCTTATTCAGATTCACAATGGGGACTACGAAGCAATCCCAAACGTGAGTCCATTAGCCATATCTTGATGAATTCCATGCTCACTAACATGACAGTTTTAATGCAAAGCCTCCTTTCAACTGATATTTCAACTAATATTTCTGAAGCTCAGCAGCTTACTAAAAGTGGTTTTGTTTTGCTGATTTCCATAGCCCTTTTACTAGTTCAGTAAATTATATCCCCCTTATGGGGACAGACTTTGGAGGCAACCTCATTTTGTTTCTGGCATTTTCACCTGCTGGGAGCATTTCTGCTTTTCCTTTGTCATCTCCCACCTACATATTTGAAACCAGAGCCCAGTGCCAGCGACCAAACAGCAAATGATGTAGCACTACTGAAGTGCTAACTCATGTGCTGCTTCTGACCTTTTCTCTGTCCAAATTTCATTGGCAAGAGCCAGCACAACAGTACTGGTGACACAGCATGTGGTTTAAATAAACACTGAGCCAGCTTCTGCTGCAAGTGTGCCTGCTCGTGCACACACACATCTCAGGGTGGAGAAGATAAGAGGGAAGAGGTGATTTATTCTCATTTGCTCTAAGTGGCAGAGATTAGTGTCAAGTCAGTACAACAGAACAGTACATCAAGCTCATTTGTCAACCCCCAAATATTGTTGCAAACATGAACAACATGCTTCTCTGGCATATTATATCTGTATTATGCAGATAGAGAAACATATCCAAGATAAAATATAAAAAAAATAAAAAAGAGGCTGCTTTTGAAAAAGGCTTCAGGCAAGATTACTCATGTTTCAATCTGAGGACTGCTTAAGACTTTAAACTTACGGTAGTGCAGCAAACAGAAAACAGACAATGGAAATCAGTCCTGTGACAACGCTCCAGTACTCCCACGCGTTCTCGACACATTCTTCCAGGAGATGCCAAATCCATGGTGTTCCATTTATGCACAATCTCCTATTCTCTATTGGGGAGATATTGAAAGCATGTGTATCCAGCCGAGAAGCCATCGTTCCTGGAGCGAGATTCAATTTCAGAAAGTTTATTTCTGCCTCCATTTTTACCCCATGCAAATCCGCAAATCCGTTTACCGGCGCTGAATATCCTCTGTGAAAAGACCTCTGCATCCAGATGGATGCTTGCTATCACAGTTATTTCCAATCTCATCAATGAACCTGCCAAATTCAAAGAAATAAACACAGCCAGTATGAATAAGACATTAACTGTACGACGCTTGCTTATATTTATTGCTTACAGAAGAGAAGTTAGATTTCCAAGAAAAAAAATACTTTGTGGTCCATCGCATTCAGTAGCTCTTGACAAACACACAACACTCCAGATTTGTATCACTGGAGGTTGTGTTAGGCTGAGACTGCCAGTTACCCTGAGGTGCCAGCAATCTGCTACAGAGCACAGCAAACCAAGCAATTGATTCGTACTTAAGACCAAAACTCTGATTTTCATCCTCAATATTACACCAATAATGTAACGGTACTTTCTTTACTGGTAATAACCCAGGTTCTGGATACTCTGCTCACACTTAGAAAATATAAACATAACGTTGCTTTCTATGCAACTGATTTCAGGATAACGTTATGAAAAAGAAGCCACTTATGACTCAGATTCCAGAAGAGCTCCAAGGTCTGCTTGATCCAGATAGCCCATCAGACTGACTAGGGATTCAACACAGTGTCAAGCAGTTTGCACTATTTAATACCCTAGAGGAAAGACTGGAAGCATAAGAAATTTGTGGAAGGCGAATGTTGGGTACTCCTGCCCCCAAAACCCCCGAGAATGAAGCACAATAGTACAATATGGCTTAAATTTTGAAGCACGGGAGGGTTGGGTTTGACTTAAAAAATATTTTCTTGCAGCCAATTATAACAATCCTGGATAGTTTTTGTTCCTTGTTGACATATCCATCCTATTTGAAATTTTAATATTTACTTAGAAGGCTAATCACTACAAAACTGAAGAAAATTTTAACAAAAATGCAGAATTGTCTATTACTATTCCTTGAAACTTCCTGCTAACAAAAACCAGCTGATTTCCCACTCATTCTGACGATAATTTAAGTCCTCTGAAGGTTAATAATTCCTTATACAGAGGAGTCTTAAATCAACTGGCTATTAAGGTAAAAAGCCAGAGCAAATTCACTGCTTAAAAAAACTCCAACAAAATAAGTATTATACTAGTAGGTTCACCTGTTCAGTATTTAAAGCCAGATGTAGAACCAGTAACAGGAAAGATGATGAAAATTTCTAGGACCATTTGCAACATCTCAAACACACAGCGAATTCAGAAAACAGAAAGAAGTAATACCGAGCTCTAGAAGTGAATAAAGTTATTTAATATCTCACAGACAACAATCCCCAAAGGCCTGATGCTCATGGCTGGGATTTTTGATGCTCTTCACTCCACACGCACGGGGACGGGGCTTGGGAGGGCTGACAATATACCCTTTCTGCAATGTAACTGGTTGGAGCTGCCTTCATTAAGCATCAAACTCCTCTCAAACCTTGATAAAGTTTCACAAAGTTTGTTGTCATAGAGCATCATTCACTGTAAAGTTAGGACTCACTTTACTGGTCATGGAGAAACCTCCTTTGTCTTTTCATGACACTTCAGGTATCTGTGGTGTTAAAAGCTGGAGCAAGTTTTCTGCAGAAACTGGTCGCCTCTCAAGAGAACCGTCATCATCGGACCTAAACCAATTAAACAATGGAAAACGAACATGGATTCATACACTGAGAATTTACCTTTGCCTATTAGATATACTCAGCTTTTACTGGTGAAGCTATTAGACTTAGTAGTCACCTTTGACAATAATTTTTAAAGTTACAAAAAAAAAAAAGTTGTGAGTAATGTTTCAAGTAAGCTTTCCCATTCCAGTACTCTGCAGCTGAGCAGGATTTTAGCACCCACTAAAAAGGGAGAAACATCAAAGCACACATACTACTTTGGCACCTTTTAGGCATGAAGCTTCAATAATTCTTAAACATTGTAACAAAAACATTATACATTTTATTAAGCATCATCCCAAAATGCCCATTTAAAGACAAGCAAAATGTCAGATTAAAAAAAAATAAAATTTAAAATTGAACACAGTATTTTAAAACCATGTCTGAAAAAACAGGTTTAACACAGCATTTAAAACCATGTCTGAAAATCATAACTGCAGCTGGACTCAGGTGTGCAAAAGTTCTCTTATGAGATGGAGGACTATATGGTAGCAAGTGTAAAGAAGGCAATTCAGACTTCAACCCCTGCTCTGATGCTGCACCCTGCTCCAAACCCCGGCAGCTACTACGGAAAAGCAAACAGTTTAAGAAGTGTTAATAATAATAATGTCCGTGTTGCCAGTTCTTGTGACCGTATTTTCAATCTTACAACAATGGCTATTTTTCTTAAATCCTCAGCAAAATACTGTGCTCCACTAAGAGCCCCATCATCAAACCCAATGGTTCCACCACTGGATAGCACAACTGGCTGCCGTCAACTCAACGTCTCGGCCATAAAAGCTGAACTCGTCCTGCCATTGCTGGGAAGGTAAAAGGCAACGGGGTCAGAGTCTGATCTTCAGTTCTTCTCCCACCTTCCATTATTATGGTCTGGCTGAGCCATATAGAATCATAGAATCACAGAATGATTAGGGTTGGAAGGGACCTCAAAGATCACCCAGTCCCAACCCCCCTGCCACGGGCTGGGACATGCTCCACTACACCAGGTTGCCCAAAGCCTCATCCAACCTGGCCTTGAACACTGCCAGGGATGGGGCAGCCACAGCTTCTCTGGGCAACCTGTTCCAGTGCCTCACCACCCTCTGAGTGAAAAATTTCTTCCTTATATCCAATCTAAATCTCCCCTCTTTCAGTTTAAAGCCATTGCGCCTTGTCCTGTCACTACATGCCCTTGTCCAAAGTCCCTCTCCAGCTTTCCTGTAGCCCCCTTTAGGTCCTGGAAAGCTGCAATAAGATCACCCCGGAGCCTTCTCTTCTCCAGGCTGAACAGCCCCAACCCTCTCAGCCTTTCTCCATAGCAGAGGTGCTCCAGCCCTCGGATCATCTTCGTGGCCTCCTCTGGACCCGCTCCAGCAGCTCCATGTCCTTCTTGTGTTGGGGACTCCAGAGCTGAATGCAGTATTCCAGGTGGGGTCTCAAATCAGGATATACCTTTCACCAAATAAGCTATGTCTTCTGACACTGAAGTATTTTATAACTACATATTCAGCTCAAAAGAATAATGGTGTTTGAACTAGAGTAATACAGATGGTTCTCTCCCTCAATATTATACAGAGTCTTGCATGGAGATTTGAATTTTTCCTCCACATTTTTAAAAAAAAATCCACTTTTGTCGCACTAAAGACTTTGCACCTGAAAACAGGATAAGGAGAGTGTGGTGTTTGAACTAGAGTAATACAGATGGTTCCCTCCCTCAATATTATATAGAGTCTTGCATGGAGATTCGAATTTTTCCTCCACATTTTAAAAAAAACCCACTTCTGTTGCACTAAAGACTTTGCACACGAAAACAGGATAAGGAGATTACCATGACATTTCTTTTCTTCCTATAGCATTTAAGTTGTCCATGATGGGAAAGAAAAATAATATTAAAAGGTGATTTATGTTCCTATAACAACTCCTCACCTGTAACCTCTTTCTTAGGTTACCACCCAAATACTAGTTACTACCATTTGAAAAAGTTAACTTGGAACCTTGACATCAAACCTTTCTGAAAAGGTTTAGTGTTTGTCCAGCTAGAAATAAAACTGTTATGGTGTAAGATATTTAGTAATAAGGAACCAGCAGCTTTAGACTCCTGTTTGGACATTCTTTTTGCTATTTTAATTCCTTATGCTGGAGAAAACGTGCAAACAATTAATCAATGATTTAAAAGTGAAATTCACTTCATTAAGAATAGCTTGACAGCACAGAGGAGGAAAACGAAGCTTTCCCTGAAACTTGGGAGACTTGCCACAGATTCTCTGCCTCTCCCAACCGCCAAGCTGCTGTGAACATCCATGTGTTCTGGCTGCTGCATGTTCTTGGATGTCAAACGACGAGACACTGCTAGTAATGTGTAAAGATGTCAGATGTGCGTGTTTGGCAGATTTGCAAGTTCACTAAATAGCAGCTAATAGCAGCTTGAAATCCAAAAGGATGTTCAGTTGCACAGTATTCATAATTTAAACACTCCTGGGGAAAAGAAAAAGTGGAGCTAAGCTAAGGAGTAACGCAGGGCTTTTTCAAACCCTTCCCAGTGTTAACCCAGTCGTTGCGTTTTGTCTCCATCTACTCTCTAAACGGATTTTTACACACTTCTGCCTGTGAGTGATGCCTTTTCAGAGCTGATGATAAAGTATGACTAAATTTCACCCAGAAACCAAGCCCAGGTCTCACGGAACACTTCCGACTTAGCTTATGAAAAAAAAAAAAAGAAAAAAGAAAAAAAAAAAAAAACAAACAAACAAGACCACAAACCCACAACCCTAAGGAAGTGCCTTTCTCCAGGAGAGCCCAGCGGGTATCCCAGCCCTGAAGCCCCGGGGCAGCACATCGCTCCCGGGAAGGTGGGACCGAGCGGCCGC